ATAGAGCTGCCGTGTTATAGGGTATGTGTATCTATATATTTATTTTTACTATAAGGTACTAGTTTCATTTATATAGGACCACCACTCTTGGCCCTCTTGAGTAAAGCAGATGGGGATTCCTGCCCATCCTTACCGATCTGTGATTCTTACAATTGAGGTCTATCGCAGACACCCATTGCACTGTCTTCAGTGTGTTCTTCCTCTGGACTACCCAACTCATATCCCCCCTTTTTTTTTCTTCTAGTAGAGCACAGGAGTCCTTACCACTTCCAGTTCCCAGTCACTGGAGTGGTGGACCATGGAGTGGTTTTGGAAAAACAAAACAGAGCTTTCTAGCCCATGTGTACCCACTTGGCGAGAAGGGAGCTATAGTTGTTATAATCATTACAGTACTGAACAATGAACTGTAAAATAATATTCAGTATCCAAGGTGCTTCCCCTGGATGTTTTTTTTTTCAGGCTGACAGCACTTAGCCTATTCAAGTACATTTCACACTGCTTAAGCTCAAGCCACATATTGTTATTTAGTTTTTCTCTCTAGCTCATTTACTAGCACTATACTATGACTCACTATCACTATGTTTGGTTTTATGTCTTGTTTCTTATGATGGCTTGTTATGACATGGATGTGAACAAAGGGCTAGTTATGATGACCCTCACAATTGCATTCATAACACTAATTTATATCTTTCATAATCATATGCATCCAAGGCACTTCCCCTGTATTTTTTTTTTGTGTGGGTAGGCCACACTTGTCAATCACTATATCTTATACAAGGCATTTCTACTGGATGTTTTGCTCAGTTGGACTGCACTTGGCATAATCCAATGTAACCCAAGGCTCTTTCCTTGGCACATACATATAAGAAAAAGTGGTTGTATACACACAAACCTTACCATGTTTGTCAACACCATACTGATTCATGCCATAATGCTTTATGTCTCTTATTGACTTCAGTTGTGCCTGCCAATTCAGTTCACCCCAAATTGTGTTACTCTATGATTGCTGGGTGAAGAGCATACCTGTTCCAGAAGTAGTGCTGTACCCCATTGGTTTGTTATCTTTTCATATTCTAGCACATCTGTTGTTTTAGTACAGTTGTTTCTCACTTGATTTGAGATTGATGCACCTTCACCTTGGCAATATGGGATTCTGGTTTTGGGTAAGTGGAGGTAGTACCGTTTTGGAAGTTAATGTTTTCTTACTTTGAAAATGTATTTCTGATAGGTACTTATCTTTTCTCACCCTTCCTCCCCACTGAGATGCCAATGTTTATGGTTTGTGCCTGCCAATTCTTGAAAGTGAGAATTGTTTTAGAATAGTAGAGGGAGCTAGCTGCACAAGTATAGATGGTGCAGTACAATTGGTGGAGAGTAGTCACATGGTCTGAAATGGTGCAAAACTGATAGAGTATAAAGACTGGTGTGCCATAACATTATTTTTTTAGTAATGTTCAGATGGCAGACCAGGATCGAGATAGCTTTGGAGGTATTTATCTATCGGAAATCCATTTTCAGAGTAAGAAAATGTTAACATTCAATATATTAATACTCCTCTTTTTTTCTGATAGGCTCACAGAACAAAGCTTATATTTTTCAAGTTTCTTGAAATAGTGTTAGAAATTCATTGGAAATTGTCACAGTAGTTCTCAAAATCAAATGATATAGATATCATACTTATACAAAAATTGTAAAAATTCCTGCAACACTTAATCTTAATGTACTTTTTTTATTTTGTTAGGCTGTAGTTTCACCTCTAAATTATTCTCTATGTTTTCTGTCAGATAACTTTTTTTCAAATTCCAGAATATAAACACATAAAAATAAAGTAGTCTGAAGGCTGAAACTTGTTGAAATTTGGATTTATTGTACAAACAAACAATTCCAAATACAAATGTAAGTTTGAAATTAACAGACTGTTAGTCTTTGCACTTAAAAAATGAAAAGGGGTAACTTATGACTATTAATGTTTGATAATGAACCCCCTTTTTTTTTATCAACTGACATAGTTGTCTATTGAAGCAATAACTTTCTGGAGATCACATCTTTGGATAAAATGATGCCAAAAAGCAATAATTGCTTCAATGACTTATCATTTTGTTGTTGGATGATGGTAGAATTCCTTGTCAGATTTATATTTAGAGACTGTGCAGCCCAGTCCATTCTCTTAATCTTGAACAAATGTATACTACTTTTGAACTTTTTTCCAATAACACCAAATTACCATCAGATAACAGGTCTTTGGACAGTGACAGCTTATAAAATTGCACCACTGCATTCATTGTTCTTTCAATGATATGATGTCTGCCTACACCATTTGTGGCTATACAGCTCCAGGTTTTAACCAGTTTTGGATGCATGCTAGAGCATGTTGTACAATTTGGGTTGAATTTTCCACAATGTTATCATCTTATATATTCACTTCTAGCAGGAGCAGTTGTAAATGTTGATTCACCACTGAAAATCACCAGGATCCACTGTTCTTTCATCCAATTGCAATGGAGTTTTCCCCAAATAAGACGGTTCTTCTGCTGAGGTTTCACTAGCAAAAATTTTTTCCTGACTTCTGGCAGATCAATGTCTCATAATCAGTAACACTGCAGACAGTAATGACTTGAAGTCATAGTTTCTTCCATTTCAAAATAAGTTCAGGTGCTCATTTTCCAGTGCTAATGTTGTCAGTTTCTGATCATTTTGTACATTAGTATAAATTTAATATGACTAAGTGCTCTCTAAGTTGTCTTATCCTGTCCTTTGACATTTATATTCTGTAAGAAACATAATATTATTGGTACTCTAAGAAAGTCCACATTGTGTATATTTTATAAGATGCATGTTATTATTTATGTGATGACCAGTTGGTCTTCAGGTCCTATAAGCATGTGATGACATTTGCTTATCTCAAACCCCAAAAAACCTTGGTTTTGCCTTCTTATTCCCCACTACTAAGACCAGAGAAAACCAAGTACTCATTAAAAGTTCTTTTATTTGAGTACTGCCAATATCACTGGTATGCTAGGGATAACCTGCATGGTGATTCATCAGATACTTTCACCTGTGTCTACGTGATGATGTGTGATTTTTCTTATCAGTCTGGTTTTTGTGTTTGCTTTTGTATATCGGGTAACTGAAATAACACTAACTATACAGCCAGAATATGTGGCATTTATGTTACTATTATATTCTTCTGAATTATTCAGAAAGACAGCTGTTTAAAATATTAAAAATAAATATGAAATCCAGTATGTCATTTGGTTCACCACTTGTCACTGAGTTATACTAGTTTAGGAGAATTCCATCCCTTTGCCCTCGTCCAGAACTACTGATGAGAGGTGGAATTCCCCAGATCAAGTATAACTCTGTGACAAGTCATGAATCAAATGATAGACTGGGCTTAATATTTATTTTTGATTCTGTTTAATTTTATTGGCTGTTGGGCTAAATGAACAGTTTAATTAAACCTAATTACCATTTGACAGATTAAAAATTCAATTTTCCTCTAAATTCTGTTAAAGTAATACATCTGATTTACTGGAACATTTTTTAAGTAGTATTTTCATAGTTTTTCAAACAAACTTATGGAAACACAAAAGTTTAAAGATCAGGATAAGGGTTAAACAGTTCATATCATATCTTCTTTGCTTTCACTGGTAAGTTCTTAGAAATATGATTCACATTTAAAAAAACAGTTACAGAAAACCTATACAAGTTCTGAAACATTTGTATAATTTACAATGTTCACCCAAGTAAATGTGTTCAAGATGAATCACAGACATAAAACTCAATATGATAACTATTTCATTATACTTGTTACAATATTTTATTGTTTGAAGTCAAACACTGCTAATAGTGGGATTTTCTGTTTGCAGTAATAGGATTCAGTAATTATAGATATATTTGTGATATATCCAACTTTTATGTATTATTTCATGAATAACACCTCAATTGTGTCATAATCCATGTCCTTAATAACAGCTGTGTTGCCAGGAAATCCGATTCTGGCAACCATTCAATGTTAATTTAACATATAGTTTAAGTATATAAAGAATCCAATCCTATATGTCCTTGACTCAATCATATATAATTAGTTATGCTCATTACTACGTATATATATGTTTAATTGTCATATATATAGGTTACTTTCTT